TGTTGAGGCCAGACGTTCGCACAGGAACTTTCTCTCCCCCTCAGTAGACAGAAGTTTATTAAACTTCTTAAAGTGACAGTTCAGCGAAAAATCGAACTGACGTACCATTATCTTTAAATATAGACAGAAGCAGCCTATGAATAAATTTCAGTTCTTCAGGATGGCTACAGCTGTTTTAGCTATAGAACCCGAGAGGGAGTGTGGTATCGCGAAATAACATCACGGCTGTGATTTGGTCGCCGTAGATCATCACAGCCATGATGTTATTGGCGATAACACACTCCTCGAGTGTTCTATTGCCTTTATACAACAGTTAAATAAATAAAGTAATAAATTAATAAACTGGGCCGTGAACGCGGCGTTTAATATGTTTTAATGTTCGCAGTTCCTTCACCAAATTATAGTTCCTTAACGAGCAGCTTGTTGCTACGTCAGAGTAACGAGCTCCGCCCACTCGCTGCACAGCCGGCAGTTCGTTCTCCAGCTCCTTACACTAAATTCCCAAACTGTCATCACCACTGAGCAGCTTTTCAGTCGGCAGCTGTGACAGAAGAACCTAAACAACCTGGAATCAGCCAGAAATGAACCCGATACCATTCACCAAACGTCTAGTCTGATCTTCAGAGTCTGACCAAATCAGACTGAGCCATAAAACTGACGCAATATCAAGTTTAGTTCAGTTTTGTCAATCTTTGCCAACTCAATATTAATGTTATTTTGTTCCAGCCAGTCTGTAAAACATCTTACAGCCCATTTAGTTTGGCGAATAGTAATGATAACTCCAGCAGCACTGCTGTGTCTGATCCACTCGCACCAGCACAACACACACTAACACACCACCACCACGTCAGTGTCACTGCAGTGCTGAGAATGATCCACCACCCAAATAATACCTGCTCTGTGAGGGTCCATGGGGGTCCTGACCACTGAAGAACAGGGTAAAAGGGGGCTAACAAAGTATCAGAGAAACAGATGGACTACAGTCTGTAACTGTAGAACTACAAAGTGCACCTATATAGTAAGTGGAGCTGATAAAATGGACAATGAGCGTAGAAACAAGGAGGTGGTCAGAATGTTATGCCTGATCGGTGTATCTAGTGTTAGAATTTGGAGAAAGATTACATAACTTACAGACATTTTACATGATGCTGGTCATTTTATCTCACTATAATGACAGATCATTTTGCGTATACTTCTTAAAATAAGCAAAATTATCTGCCTATATAGTGAGAATGTCTATAAATAAGATCTTATAATATTCCTGCATTCATCTCAAAACTGGAAATATTATGTATATAGACTACAGGGTTTCACTTTTTGCAGTTTCGTGATGACCATAGTAATTTAGTATTTTCACAGTGATGCCTACTCTCTCTCTCTCTCTCTCTCTCTCTCTCTCAGGGTCAATGACAGTATTCTGTTTGTGAACGATGTGGACGTGCGGGAGGTGACCCACTCTCAGGCTGTAGAGGCGCTGAAGGAGGCCGGAGCCATCGTACGTCTGTACGTCCTCCGCCGGAAACCCATCGCTGAGAAAGTCACCGAAATCAAACTAGTTAAAGGCCCGAAAGGTACGAGAGTGTGTAGAGTACGTTTATTTATCTGTTTACTTTTACTTATACAGTCGTATGCAAAGGTTTGTGCACCCCCAGTCAAACTTTGTGTAAATAAGTGAACACGTCCTCCACAGAGAAAACACTTTCTGCACTGTTTATTTGTTTATTTAACATATTGGGGGGGGGGATAAAACACAGAGTGTTGAATGTACAGAAGTTGTAGCACATTTTATATTGTATGTGTCAGTTTTTCCTGTGTGGGCAGCAGTGGGTAGAGCTGTGCCTCACAGCAAGAAGGGCCTGGGTTCGATGCCCCAGCCGGGCGACCGGGGTCCAATTGGGACGCGTCAGGACAATGATGCTAAATTGCCTCTAGGTGTGAATGTATATGTGTGTGTTTCTGCCCTGTGATGGACTGGCGACCTGCCCTGGGTGTTTCCTGCGTTGGGATAGGCATCAGCACCTCTGTGACTCAGGAGGATAAGCGGTTTAGATGATGATTCATGAGTTTTTCCTGTGTGTTAGACAGAAATGTAGGGAAACGAAGAACATAATAGCTATAAAGCCTGAGATCAGACACTGGACAGTGGTTTCATCCTTCCTGCTATGTAAACATTAGCAATGTTAAGTGCCTTAAACACCTCAATCAGTGACACCGTCTATTTCTCAGGGTTTTTAGCCATCCTAAGTGACAGCATTGTAGAGAATGGCACATATACCTTCCTCTACAATGAATTAACATTCGTCTTTGAGCTTTGTGTTTATTCCCACCCTTTTTTTTCTAAGTGTTACATGATTAGCGGAGCTTATCCACTTAACCTGAACATTTTTATAACAGATCTACGAGGATCTGTGGCAGAAAAAAAAGTAAAACCATGGCAGAATAAGCAGAACCTACCCTAGAAAATAATGGCATTTCACCATCTGTAACAAGACGTAAAAAATAAGCAGAATTCCAGGACTGAATTAAGTCACCAGCACATTACTGCTAGTAAAAATGACCCTCCATGTATGTATATGTATTATTTACACAATTATAGTGTTTCGTTTCTTAAAGTTGTGATAATATTGTAAACCGTGATATAAGGTTAGGCAATTATTGTGATATTACATGTTTTATAACGGGCTGAAGAGGCGCTAAACACACTATGCGCATTAATCAACCCAAAAGTATTGTCAGTGTTACAGGCAGTTGACTAGCCAACCACAGAGACGATTCAAATAAACAAAATAAAATATAATTTTTTCAATGCAGACTAATATCATAATAACCGTTTTGCTCTTTTTCTCTCTCTCAGGTTTGGGGTTCAGTATAGCTGGTGGGGTGGGTAATCAGCACATTCCAGGAGATAACAGCATCTACGTCACCAAAATCATCGAAGGAGGAGCGGCGCATAAAGATGGACGACTACAGATCGGCGACAAGATACTGGCGGTAAGAGCTTCAGTGCAGCGTCACACAGTAATACAGTAATACAGTAATCCAGTGATACCAATAAGAATGGATGAATGGCAGAAGTTATAGAACATCACCACCATATAAGAGCTCATTCACAGCAATTTAGTCTCATTCTTACTACGACACTGACCCCTGAAGGATAACAGTGGAACTGCAGCCCAAACATTTTAGGTTTCTAAGTTTTCTAGGTTTCTAATTGATCCCAGTACTGGACGCTTTTCTTCATGGACAGTTTATTCTTTAAGGTCACTTTGTTCTTATTCTATGTATATATTTACATCATTATATCTTATTTATTCAATATTGTGCATCTTATAGCCTTTAAGTGTGTTTATACTTTTATCCTCCATAGTTTTACCTTTAATTAAGCATCTACATGTTTACTCCCAATAGCGTCTCATTGTACTCGTTGTTTTTTTTTCTTCCACTATTAAGTTACTTTTTTTTGAAGGTTTAACAGCTTTTTTAACAGTGGTCATATTATTTATTTATTTATTTATTTAAGTTGTTTTTCCTGCCAGTGATCCTCTTTCTGTTGCGTGTCCACCAGGATGAGCAGAGCATTGTGTTTCCTGCTGAAACGGTGTCTGATAATCTGAGTATCAGAGCTGATCAGAGTTTGGATCCTAACCTCGACTGTCTCCAGAGAGTCTGGCGTTAGTGTGTAACCTGCGATGCTGGTCTGTGTTTCAGGTGAATAACGTGTGTCTGGAGGACGTTATGCACGAGGACGCAGTCGGAGCGCTGAAGAACACGGCGGAGGTCGTCTACCTCAGAGTGGCTAAACCGAACAACCTTTACCTTACCAACAACTACAACCCTCCAGACCTCACCAGCAGTGAGTTGCGCTCAAACACACACACAGTCTGTTGATGCACAGTGTGTATAATCCATCATCTAGTCTTTCACCAGCGGTCAGTTTCTGACCACAGAGCAATTACAGGACATTTTTGGGTGGAGGTCCACTGTCAACCTAACAGTAACAGTGCTGTGTGTGAAAAGACCACACTGTTACAAAAGATGGTTCTTCAAGAGTTTTTAAATAAAGACAGTGGTTCTATATAGAACTATGAACACTCAAAGAACCATCTTCATGACTATATGGTGAAATGGTTCTTCAGATCGATTGGGAATGTGCTGTATATGGTTCTATATAGCACCTAAAATGCTTCTGCTACTGTATGCAACCTTGACATTGTAACAATAGAAGAACCCTTTTTGATGCTGTGTAGAACAATTTTCAGAAAAGTTCTGTGCAGAACCATATACAACACGTTCTCCATCAATCTGAAGAACCGTTTCACCATGCAAAGGACCATTTAAGCATATAAAACCACTGGCCCTCATTCTCAAATGTCTTCCTAAGTTTGTTCTTAAGTGTGTTCTTGAGAAAGGTCCTAAGAAAAAGTCTACGTCAGATTCATGACGTGTTCGTAAAGCGCAGAACTGTTCTCACCTTTGTGCTCTTGAGTGTGTGTAGATTATGTTCTTACCTAAGAACCCCCAAAATCCCAAATAAGAGAACACTGGTGAGTCAGAATCTTCGTCAAAACTGCGTAAGTGGGTTTTAAGAAGAAATTTCTTCTTAAGAAAGGTGGTGAATGAGGCCCAATGTCTTTATTGAAGAACCATCTTTTTTAAGAGTGCAGCACTTATACACTCTCTGGAAATAGGTGCTAAACCCCATGTGTCAAACACAAGGACCAAGGGCCAAGTCAGGCCAGCCGCACAGTCCTGTTCAGCCCGTAAAATTATTTTAATTTTCTATTAATATTATCCCATTTCACCATGAGCTGCACTACAGTTCTCAGCATGCACTGCTATGTAGTTTGTGCTCCCACCCTCTTACCAACAACGATCTATGGGACAGAAAAAATGTCCGGTGTCTAGTTCAAGTGAAGGAGCAGTTTTAAAAAACCTACAGGGGACATTTATAGAGGTTTAACAGTATCTGCAGCTAGTGAAGTCTTTGTTTTATATTTAAAAATTTGCTTTTATTTAAAACTCTTTTTGAATCGTTTAAGTATTCAGTGCCTGTTTTTTGCCTTTGTTGTTTTTGGCATATCTTGAATATGCCAAACTATGGCCAGTTGGGGTCGTGGCAAAACGTTAAGTAAAAATAAAATAAAAGCACAGCTGGCCCTCGCGTTTGTTGAGATTTTTTTTAAGTTGATGAACAATAGCATACCTGAAAATAACAGTTCCATGCTGGGAGTGGCAAAAATCAATAAAATCATCCGCGTACACAAAGCATGTGCAAAATGAATCCCAGAACAAAGAAATTCCCGAGCACACGTCTTAGGAAAAGTATAAAAATCCTTTACTGGAACATGGAAATGTGTCGACGCGTTGCGGCCTTCTCAGGCCTTCATCAGGAAACAAAACAATGGCATGTCAATAACGTTGTTCAATAACATAGTCAATAACTTACCTGTTCAGAGCCCTTTTTTCTGGCAGTTTTTGGGAAATAGCCCACCGCCTGGATGAAACTGAAAGACTGTAGTTGGTTCTGAGTTTCACTATCTGTCGATGGTAAGCCAGTGGCTCAAGAGATTTGAGTGGAATGTGGTTTAATACGGCGTCAGCATTATATTAACGTTGTTTATTTTATACTAACGCTGTTTATTTTATACTAATTCTGTTTATTTTATACTAACGCTGTTTATTTTATACTAATTCTGTTTATTTTATACTAATGATGTTTATTTTATACTAATGCTGTTTACTATCCGTTGTCGACCAGAGGAGGATGGGTTCCCCTTTTGAGTCTTGGTTCCTCTCAAGGTTTCTTCCTCTTGCTCTTAAGGGAGTTTTTCCTTGGCACTGTTGCCATTGGCGACGCTCGTGGGGGCTCGGACCCGGATTTTTTTGTAAAGCTGCTTTGTGACAACACCTGATGTAAAAAGCGCTACATAAATAAACTCTGACTTGACTTTGGCTTGACTTGAACTAAAAAGCCCGAATACTTTCAGAAGTGTCTGCTCGTCCCTGTTGTTTTAGCGGTTGTGATCTGGCACCACACATGAATGAGGTAGAGAGGTGCTGATAAATTGTTCATCAGATGGGCTACAGTCTATAACTGTACACGTATAGAGTGGATCTGTAAGGTATGCGGAGGGGAAGAGGACAGGGAGTTTATTTCTGATTACATTTGTGCATGTTTGTGTTTTCTCTCCAGCATATTCTCCTCACATGGACACTGACCTCGGCCACAGCTATCTGGGCTCAGATTACCCACAAGCCCTCACTCCCACCTCCCCCAGCCGCTTCTCTCCAGTGTTGCATAGCATGCTGGGAGATGACGACCTGCCCAGGTGATTCAGTTCAATTCAGTTTTATTCATATAGTACTAAAGTACACATTCTGCCCACAAACACAGCTCAGTTTATATCACAATACCTACATTTAGAGTCAGTTATTCATTCAGCCTAATGAGAAACTGTAGAACAGACTCGGTTTATATCACAATACCTACATTTAGAGGCAGTTATTCATTCAGCCTAATGAGAAACTGTAGAACAGACTCAGTTTATATCACAGTACCTACATTTAGAGTCAGTTATTCATTCAGCCTAATGAGAAACTGTAGAACAGACTCAGTTTATATCACAATACCTACATTTAGAGTCAGTTATTCATTCAGCCTAATGAGAAACTGTAGAACAGACTCAGTTTATATCACAATACCTACATTTAGAGTCAGTTATTCATTCAGCCTAATGAGAAACTGTAGAACAGACTCAGTTTATATCACAATACCTACATTTAGTCAGTTATTCATTCAGCCTAATGAGAAACTGTAGAACAGACTCAGTTTATATCACAATACCTACATTTAGAGTCAGTTATTCATTCAGCCTAATGAGAAACTGTAATGTTGGTATATTTTCAGTTTGTGTGAAACTCCCCCCTTGGTTAGTTTTATAGTGTGTTGCATTCTGGGTAATGTGGAGAATGATTCAGCAGAATCTTTGAACCGCTCTTTCTCTGGGCCTTTTCTTTCTTTTCTTTTATTCTTCACAGGAGATGAAATGTAATTTGTTGGTTTGTTTTGTTTCTCTCTCTTGCTCTCTTTCTTTCCCCTGCTGCCTTTAATAATTTCATTCCTGCCCAGTTTTTCACTCTCTCTTCTGTTTTCTTCATTCTTTCCTCTTTTTGTTTTGAAGTCTCTTAAATTAAGCCTTTACTTTCCTGGCATGCCTGTCAAATAACTGCAGTCATGATAATAATAAATAATGATCTTTCTCTCTCCTTCTCTTTGTTTTCTTCTTTTTCTCTCTTTCTCTCGTTCTTCTTTTCTTCCTCTTGTTCTTATTTATCTCACTCCTCTCTCTCTCTCTCTCTCAGAGACCCCAGGCGTGTAGTGATCCACAGGGGTTCTACAGGTTTGGGCTTTAATATAGTGGGAGGTGAGGATGGAGAAGGAATCTTTATCTCCTTCATTTTAGCCGGAGGACCAGCAGACCTGAGCGGAGAACTGAGGAAAGGAGACCAAATACTGAGTGTGAGAAAACACACACTTACACACACACACACACAGATACACACACACACAGATACACATACACACACAGATATACACACACATACACACCCCTCAAACATTCAGCTGACTTTTTTAACAATAATATTTCCCCATTTCAACTGTTTTGTGTGTGTGTTTCAGGTAAACGGTGTTGACCTGAGAGCCGCTACACATGAACAAGCTGCAGCTGCGCTAAAGAACGCCGGACAGACTGTCACCATTATAGCTCAGTACAGACCAGAGGGTAAAGAATTAAAATAACACAAAATCACATAACTAAGCCTTTTTTGCATAAGCCATTGCTAGAAACTTGGAAATTGCTTGGAACTAGATAATCTTGACTTGTGACTTGACCAACTTGACAAGATTTGACTCAGGACTTGCCTATCTTAAAACAGGACTTGCCTACTTCAACTCAGGACTTGCCTATCTTGGTTCAGTGCTTGCATATCTCAACTTGGGACTTGCCTGTCTTCATCCAGGACATGCCTATCTCGACTCAGGACTTGCCTATCTTGACCCAGGACGTGCCTGTCTTGACTCAAAACTTGCCTATCTTGATTAAGCACTTGCCTATATCAACATGGGACTTGCCTATTTTGACTTGGGACATACCTATCTTGATTCGGACCTTGCCTGTCTCGACTCAAGACTTGCCCATCTTGATTCAGGACTTGCCTATCTCGAATCAGAATTTGCCTTTCTTGACTCGGGACTTGCCTATCTCAGTTTGGGACTTGCCTATGTCGGCTTCAAATTTGCCTGTCTTGACTCAGGACTTCTCTATGTCGACTTTGGATTAGCCTATCTCAACTCAGGACTTGCCTATGTTGACTCAGGACGTCCTATCTTGACTCAGGATTTGCCTATCTTGATTCCGAACTTGGCTATCTTGACTCAGGACTTCCTATCTTGACTCAGGATTTGCCTATCTTGACTCAGGACTTGCCTATCTCGACTCGGAGCTTCACTATTTATCTATCTGTCTTGATTCCTGATTTGCCTTGGGACTTGCCTATGTCGACTTCGGATTTGCTTATCTTGACTCAGGACTTGCCTGACTCAACTTGGGACATGCCTATCTTAATCTTAAATCTCAGCTTAGGACTTGCTTATCTTGATTTGGGACTTAACATAGAACTAGGTTATCATGACTTGGGACTTAATTAGAGACTTGATTGACTTGATTACAGACCTGACTATTTTGCTTAGGGACTCAGGACTTCCCTGCCTTTGCCTGGGAATTGACTCAGGGCTTGTCTATCTTGACTCTGGACTTGCCTGTCTTAATTTAGGACTTTAGTGGTGAAGACTTGATTCTTATTAGTTGTAACTCAGTGACTAGTTCTAGTACACAAATCTCCACTACTAATACAAACACCATCAACTGATAGATGTGAATTTCTGAATTTTAATTCTGTCAGTTTCACTGTGAATTTAGAGTTCTAAAAGTTTGAAGTGTGTTCTCTGATGTGCCTCTTTGTACATGTGTTTTTGTAGAGTACAGTCGGTTTGAGGCTAAAATCCATGATTTGAGAGAGCAGCTGATGAACAGCAGTTTGGGCTCTGGAACAACAACGCTGAGGAGTAACCCCAAACGAGGGTTTTACATCAGGTAAACACATCTCAAACCATGAGAAAATTCTAATTGATAGGCTAAAAAAAATGTTCACTGGCTTTGTTTTAATGTTGCTAAGTTAATTTAGCTAAGGTAACATTGTGGCCCACACTCACAGATACTGTGGCTGAAGTTACTGTGAGGAGTTTGCCCAGAACATCTTCCCTGTCATACCTGACATGTGTATTGATTACCACACTGCACTTTTTCACCATATTGCAAAAAACACTACACCTGAAATATTTAATACAAATGTTAAACCAGCCTTTCCTCTCTCTCTCTCTCTCTCTCTCTCTCTCTCTCTCTCTCTCTCTCAGGGCTCTGTTTGATTACGATAAGACAGCTGATGGTGGGTTTCTGAGCCAGGCGGTCAGTTTCCGTTTTGGTGATGTCCTCCATGTTCTGGACTGCAGTGATGATGAGTGGTGGCAGGCCCGACGGGTCAGCGCAGGGGGCGAGGCCGAGGAGCTCGGCTTTATACCCAGCAAGAGGAGGTGGGTTAGAACTGAAGAAGTGGTTAGAATTGATTAAAAATTCTTCAAACGTATGCCTGTGACATACGACCATCCTCTGGGCCCTGATGACGGCCGCAGGAAGGCAGAGCCTGAACTCCGAGCCCAGACGAAACCCTGCGAAGACAGCAGGAGAGGATGAAATCTGTGAGGGAGTGGGGAATGTCGCGTGAGTCCCAAGCCCCGCCTCCTTCGTACCTCTCCCGGCTGTTATCATCAACCACCTCCCCCACATACCCCCGGCAGCTGACGTCCTCCTCCCGCCGTCACTCATGTCCCCCAACAGTGTTTGGGATTCGGGTCCCGCTTTCCAGCCGGCTCTCACAGCCGTCATTGGGGCCCAGGGGACAGGCACATGCCACAATGACCTCATGTTATGGACAAATATTTCAAACTGCATTGAATAGTTTCCTAAAGAATCATAATTGAATTAGTCATTATGGGATGAAAATTATAGCCCAGATTATGGACCCTATATATACGCAGATATACACTACAAGGCAAAAGTATGGAAACAAGTAGTAATTTGTGAATGAAGCAGTGAAGCACATTATTCTAGAATATTCTGTACTCTTCTATAATCACTAGGGAAAACCTTCTTCATACTCTCTGTTAATAAGAATTCCTTACATTGAGCAGTTTTTAATTCTTTGCTCATTCCTTGAATAAACTCACTTCCTCTCCTTGCTTTCTCTCCTCTCTTCCTTCCTTTCTGTCGGTACCTCCCTGCAGGGTGGAGAGGAAAGAGTGGTCCCGCTTAAAGACGAAAGACAGGGTAAGCTTTGTCATCACTATTAAAATAATGGACACACAATGTCATTGATGTGAAGCACTGCTCTAGTCGAGGTCTAACAGCCCCCCCTTCAGCCTGTGATGTGAATATGAAAATGTGAAAGTCTGTGCAAAACACCCAGTTCGCAGATATGCAGAGGTATAATTCAGCCTTTAGGCGTGTAGTTAGCATGATGCTAATTGTGGATAAGCTTCCATTACTTGTTATCTACATTAGCGAACAAACTTCAAACTGTCGCTTTAAAGGCGCAGTGTGTAAGATTTAGTGGCATCTAGTGGTGAGGCTGCGAATTGCAACAAACCGAAATCCCCCTCCCTCACCCCTCCCTTTCCAAGTGTGTAGTAGAACTTCTTCTGTTTCTTCCTGTTTTCTCTTCTTTGACGGTGAGGATTCACCCTTACTCACTTCTTCTTGTGGTAAATAACAAGTTTGGTCCTTCATTTGACAAAATTTGGGTTCTCAAACTTCTCACAACACAAAATGGTCAGCAGCACCGGCAGCGACCACTGATTCTTCTTCTATCTTCCAACCGGAGCGACAGCAGCACCAAATTCAAGCTGCTGCTTCAGCGTAAAAGCGCGGATGGCACCCTCTAGAGGCAGTGTTTAGTTTGTCCGTTCTGGGCTACTGTAGAACCATAGTGGTGTAACATGGCGGCCTCTGTTGGAAGAAGAGCCGCTTGCTATGTAGATATGAAAGGCTCATTCTAAGCTAACGAAAACACAACGATTTGTAGTTACAGGTGATTAAACACTAATGCAAATATGGTTTTGTTACTATATTCCATTTCTGCTCATAGATCCAGCTAAATCTCACACACTGCACCTGTAAGGCAAACTCTGCCCTCACAAATAAACACTTCACATTGTCCACTAGTTCATGAACAAAAAAATAACCGAGCAAAAAAATAGCTACCAGGTCTGAATCATGTTCTGCATTATTATTATTGTTCTGCATTAACACACAAATTGAAGCAATAATTTATTTTAATAAGCTGCCATTTACGCGAGCTAATAAGTTTAAATCGCTGTCCGGAAACGCTGCTTCCCAGCACATCCTCTCGTAACGACTCAGCCTGCCGGGTTTATGGGAGAAAACAGCCTTTGTTTTACTCCCTGCTGACAGCAGTGCAGTTTTAAAGTGTCACAAGTCCATGTCTGTGTGTGTGCGGCAGCAATTTGATGATAATTTTACTCTGCGCTGTTGGTTATAAATGGAGTTGTTAACCTGGAGCTGCTCTAGTCTGTTATTAGCATAAATGCATAATTACAGACACATACACACACACACACACACACACACACACACACACACACACACACACTCAACAACAACACCCTGAACAAAAACATGAACTCACACACCACCGTTCAGCTGAGGACAGTGAGTTGATTGAATTAAAAGAGCGAACACTGCAGTGATGCTGGACTTTATTCTTATTAAACTGCTCATTTTCTTCTGATTATGGTTTTAATAATGAATTTCCTCTCACTTTTAACAGGATCGCAGTCGAGACAGTTTAGGATCACAAGGTGAGTGAAGCTGTAGATTTATCTCTCTTTTGTTTATTAATTTAATATTCATATATATTAAATTATAGTGCTGAAATGTTACTGTTTAAGCCTTCAGTTTGGGCCACAAATGTCAAACCTTGGTAAAACAAAAAAACAGCTCATTTTTACTAGCGCCCCTAAGGGATTCTGGTAGTGTTTTGGCCATTATAGATTAAACATAGACAATTCTAGCTTATAAAAGATATTATCATATATGTGAACTTGTGTGTATCCGTGTTACAGTGACTCAACAGCCACTGTTTTACATTCCTAACAACTACCTGGAACACTGCTTAGACTACGGCTCGTATTCACAGTCAGTCATCTAGAACTCACTAAACTGGTCTCATTGTAAATCAAAGCGTAATTGGTTGATTCCTCTGTCGCTTCCTAATTATGCTGGTAGTTAAGTGTAAGGCCTTCAGTTCAGCTCCTGAACCAATGAGAGAGTAGCTTGGCTGTATCTACCTAGATACCACAGAGAAAACAACCCTGATTGGATAATTTTCTGTTTGGCGTTCAAGAATTGGATCACCTTAAACGGTAGAGAGAGTGTTCAGTGTGATGCTCGCTCTACCATTAGAATCATCTTTGTGCTAATATGCTTTTGGGAAACCCAGCAATGAATTGAATTGAATTGAACTGAACTGAACTGAACTGAACTGAATTGAATTGAATTGAACTAGACTGAAATGAAGAGAATTGAACTGGATTGAACTGAATTGATTAGAACTGCATTGAACTGATTTGAATTGAATTGAACTGGATTGAAGTGAAGAGAATTGAACTGGATTGAACTGAATTGACTTGAATTGAACTGTATTACCCTCAGACTGGATTGTGTCTCAGAGCTGATTGTGTGTGTGTTTGGTTTCAGGTAGAGAAGAATCAGCGCGCAGTTATGAGACGGTGACACAAGTGGAAGGTGAGTGTCACATCAGTGCGATTCCCCTCTTCACCTCTAGAGGTCACTGTTACCTCAGCGCTAATGGAACGTTTGAACTCTCCTTGTAAACCTTTTCCTGAATTTAATAGTTTGTCACAGAGAAGTTGCTCTTGAGCGGCTGAGGAAGTCGTAAATACTGAAGCACTAAACTCTGAAAAGCCCACGTTGGCTGAGTTTATCATCTGTAATGTTACCAGCCATTCTGTTACCACGGCAACAGCATCGGCCGAGCTGGCAAACAACAAGCCGTTAACAATACAACAAGTTAACAGTAACTTCTGCCCACTGAATCACTCTATATGACTCTCTCTCTCTCTCTCTCTCTCTCTGTCCAGTACACTATGCGAGACCCATCATTATCCTCGGGCCAGTGAAGGACCGGGTGAATGATGACCTGCTGTCAGAGTTTCCAGACAAGTTTGGCTCCTGTGTTCCTCGTGAGTGTGCGAGCCCCGCCTACAGCTCTCTCTTACTGGCTTAGCGACAGCCTGACTCACCACTGATTGACTAAAACACAACACAACATTGGCCACGCCCCTTAAAGTAATAGTTCAGTAAATTTTAACAGCCCAGACAAAGTATCGCATTGAAGTCTGCTGAAAATGCTTAAAGAAACATAGAAAATAAACAAACACAAAAACTCCAAACGCTGAAGTCGTGTGAGTTATCATGTGTGGCTCACACTGATGACATCATTGTGTCTCTCAGATACGACGCGGCCGAAGCGCGAGTATGAGGTGGATGGGCGGGATTACCACTTCGTATCGTCACGGGAACAGATGGAGAAGGATATCCAAAGCCATCGGTTCATAGAGGCTGGACAATATAACAGCCACCTGTACGGGACGAGTGTACAGAGCGTACGAGAGGTGGCCGAACAGGTGAGAGAGAAAGAGGAGAGAGAGAGAAAAAAATGGGTGTAGTATAACCATGGAAATGGGTGTAGTGTAACCATGGAAATGGGTGTAGTGTAACCATGGAAATGGGTGTAGGGTAACCATGGAAATGGGTATAGTGTAACCATGGAAATGGGTGTAGGGTAACCATGGAAATGGGTATAGTGTAACCATGGAAATGGGTGTAGTGTAACCATGGAAATGGGTGTAGAGTAACCATGGAAATGGGTGTAGGGTAACCATGGAAATGGGTATAGTGTAACCATGGAAATGGGTGTAGTGTAACCATGGAAATGGGTGTAGAGTAACCATGGAAATGGGTGTAGGGTAACCATGGAAATGGGTATAGTGTAACCATGGAAATGGGTGTAGAGTAACCATGGAAATGGGTGTAGGGTAACCATGCAAATGGGTATAGTGTAACCATGGAAATGGGTGTAGTGTAACCATGGAAATGGGTGTAGTGTAACCATGGAAATGGGTGTAGAGTAACCATGGAAATGGGTGTAGTGTATTCATGGAAATGGGTGTAGTGTAACCATGGAAATGGGTGTAGTGAAGACATGGAAATGGGTGTAGCGTAACCATGGAAATGGGTGTAGCGTAACCATGGAAATGGGTGTAGAGTAACCATGGAAATGGGTGTAGAGTAACCATGGTAATGGGTGTGGAGTAACCATGGAAATGGGTGTGAAGTAACCATGGTAATGGGTGTAGTATAACCATGGAAATGGGTGTAGAGTAACCATGGAAATAGGTGTATCCCATAGATCCATATATCAGTGGTGTAATTGTACTTTAGGTGGATGTTTATCGGTCAGCCCATATAATTCTATTCTATCATCTGTAATACAATGTGTTTGTGTGTGTGTGTGTGTTTGTGTGTGTGTGTGTGTGTGTGTGTGTTTGTGTGTGTGTCTGTGTGTGTGTGTGTGTGTGTGTGTGTGTGAGCAGCAGGGGAAACACTGTATTCTGGATGTTTCGGCGAATGCTATCCGCAGACTGCAGGCCGCACAGCTTCACCCAATAGCCATCTTCGTCCGGCCAAAGTCTCTGGAGAATGTCCTGTACGTAACCAATGGCAACCACAATTATACAGTGTGTCCTGAACTACGTCTGTAAACAACATGTAACAAAGATGATGTGTTTTTGTTCTCACAAACTCTCCGTTCACTTTTGAGCTCCATCTACCTTAGAGGTTCACTGTGTAAGAGCACGGTTACAGACTGCAGTCCATCACTTCATTTATTGTTAAACTGGCCAGTGATTAATGGGGTAGAACGAGGCTCATAATTGACCAGATATAATTGGGTGGTGGTCCATTCTCACCATGGAGGCGTGGTTCTGGTTCGAGTCAGTGTCACTGCTAGACCGTCCACCCAAAAATAACCAGCCAAGATCGGCTCTGTGGTCAGAAACTGACCACTGGTGAAGGACTAGAGGATGGCCAACACAAGCTGTGCATCAGCAACTACAGTCTCTAACTGAACACCAGTACAGTGGAGCTATAAGGGAGGGGTTTCTGATAAAGTGGCCTGTGAGTGTAGAACCTGCAGTAACACTCGTGTGTTGTGTGTGTAGGGAGATTAATACGCGTCTGACGGAGGAGCAGGCGAGGAAAGGGCTGGACCGAGCCGTCAAACTGGAGCAGGACTTCCTCGAGTGTTTCACAGGTATAATAAAACAACCGCACCACATGATGTGATTAATCGTGATTGTTGGACAGCCAAATATATATATATATATATATATATATATATATATATCTTTTTTAGCTTATAACTTTTAATGCAAGTTAGTTTAAATAGTTTTATTCCAAGTGATTGTAGCGCATTTCTTTTGGTCCATCATGAAGTTTTCACACAATAAACAGGACAGCTGCTGTGTTCAAATGATGTAGAAAAATAAAAATCGACACTTTTTTTGACAACAACAATTTACGTTGTTGTGAGTGGCCATTATACATACAATAAATGTCAATGCTATATTATGATTAATACCACTTTTACTAGAGAAATAAAGATGGATTCTTCCTTATACGTTAGCAGTCAAATTCTCAGTCAAAGTCAAATTCTAACTCTAAAATTATTACAAAGGGATATATAGCATTTTAGTATATATATATATATATATATATATATATAACTTTTGTATGTACACACAGTCGAATGTAATTCCATGTTTGTGTTGATTAGTGTGAATAAGTGAACACATCTTCGAGCACACTTCTGCACAGCAAATAAATAGAAATTATGTCATATTTAAGTGTGTTCTTTGAAGAGATGGCCAACACTTTCATTGACTTACTATATATGTATGTGTGTATATATATATATATATATATATATATATATATATATATTTATATATATAGTAAGTCAATGAAAGTTTTGGCCATTTCTTTTGGTGCAGTCATCATTTTCCAATTTTGTTCTGACAGCAGCGATACATATACATATATATATATATATATATATATATATATATATATATATATATATATATATATATATATATATATGCATATACACATACATACTTGGGCTGTCAATGCTGTTCTTTACATTGTATGAAAATTTTGTGATGAATGGACTGATGGAAATGGTTCAAAATTACTCTAAATAAATTTGTACTGTACAGTGTAAGTGTTTTGACACTTTGGCACTATAAAGACTTTAAATCTGTCTCTCTCTCTCTCTCTCTCTCTCTCTCTCTCTCTCTCTCTGTCTCTCTCTCTGTCTCTCTCTGTCTCTCTCTCTCTAGCCGTGGTGGAGGGGGACAGTTTTGAGGAGGTTTACCACAAAGTGAAGTCGGTGATAGAGGAGCAGTCGGGGCCGTACATCTGGATCCCCACCAGGGAGCGCCTGTGAGCACGGAGACGAAAAAACGGAGAGAGGGAACACCACTCAGCCTAACTCACCCGCACAGAGAGAGAGAGAGAGAAGACGACAGAACAGAAGAGAAAGAGAGAGAGAGAAAGGAATACTGCGTGTGGAACAGCACAGGAAAACTCCACACATCCCTCCGTCTTTTTCTTTTTCTTCTTCTCCTTTCTTCTAATCTTTTCTCGCCTCCTCCTCTCTCCTCCCTCTCCTTCTCTCTCTCTCCTTCTCTCTCTCTCTCTCTCTCTCTCTCTCTCTGCGTGCATCACTATATCTCTTGCACAGGGCTGTTGACCTGTTTTTACTCAATAAATCCCTCTTTATCGCCATTAAAGGAGGGAACGAAAAAGAAAGAAAAGGAAAACTACCATCTCCGAACGATGGAACGACGGAATGATGGAACGACAGAATGAAATGATTAAATCCTTCCTTTTTTTTACTCTGTTGGACTCCTTCCTTCTCTTTTCCGTCCCAGTGTCTCCCTTTCTCTCTCTGTCCACGTGAAGAAGAAAGGAGGGATGGGCGAGTGAGGGAGAGAGAAAGAGAGACAGCCATGACTATTAAGCGAACGAGACGAAGGATAAGAGAAGTTTCGGATGGACGGAGGGAGTGTCGAAACGAAAAAAAAACCCAAACAAACGAAAGTATATTTATTAATAACAGTAATATTATAACGAGGAAATCTACGTACTGTGACTTTTCCGAGACAATTTTGAGTTATTTTAGACATCTGATGTGCAGAAGAGAGCGAGGGAGGGAGGAGTGGAAGAAGGAAACAGGTCTGTCTGCTGGAGGAGGAAGAGAAGAAGGAAAGAAGGGAGGAAAGGACAAGTGAAAGAGAAAGACTGCAGACTTTTATCAGTTTGTCTTTGTCTTGCTGCACAGAATTCAAAGCCACACGTGATACTATGGGCTAAACTACGTTTTCCTTCATTAACACACACACACACACACACACACACACACACACACACACACACACACACACACACACTCATCCCCTCCTTAGAAACACACACATGGAGCACAACAGCCTTTAAAGTGCAATATATATAAGTGTAGGTATGGTGTGCTACACTACAGGCTAGAAGTATGGAAGCAAGCAGTGAAGCTTTAAAGGGGAATTCCACCAAACTTTCTAAATTTCCTTATAATTCAGAGGTTGTGACGGAAGCAAAGTCGTTCTCTCTGTTTTGATGTGAAACGCTCCGTTCTAGAGAAACGTTCCGACTCAGATTTCTCTACAGTGGTGGTGATAGGAACCAGGGGTCGCCATGACTACAACACAAATATAGACATTTTATTTACTATCCAGAACCACCAGTGAACCTACACGAGTCTTCTGAGTTTATGTGGAATGTTGATGATGGAAAATAGTGGAAAATCTGAAATAATAAGTTTTCTTTGGGGACTATTTTGCCTCACAGCACCCTGCATATTATGTATCCCTCCACCATGAATGGAGTTTAAAGCCAAAATCTTCTCAAAACTACCATAAATCAGTGTCTCAGTCATCAGGCAGTGAATTCATAACCATTTCATGTAGTAACTTTCTGCGACGGAGCTTTTAGAGGTGGACGTCTGGTTCCTATCACCACCACTGTGAACAGTTCTGACTCGGTAAGTTTCTCTAGAACGGAAGAGTTTCACACCAAACCACTCTGAACGACTCTGTTTACATCTTAACCATTTAATTATGCCGAAGTTTGGATAAACCCCAGTACCCTTTTTTAAAGTTTAATCGATAGTTACCCTATTCATGCTCCGCCCACAAATGTGTCTTTACAGAATGCCGATAAAACCTAACAAGAAACTGTAGAACTCAGTTTTTGTTAAAATATGTAAATTGTTTACATCAGAGTTTGTTTATAGTCACTACATAATATTGAGTTTCCAGTTTAAAATGCTACACTAATGATAAGGACTGTGTTGTTGTCGCTAATCGAAACTATACAGGTTGGAAATGACAACCAATGAACCACCATGCTAACGTTAGCTTGACTACAAAACAAAAACATACTTACAATTTGTGGTAACAGTGATCTTTGGCTAATGTCAGTACACAACGTTGAGTTTCCAGTTTACAATGCTACGCTACTGAGTTGGACTGTGTTGTTGTAGCTAATCAAAACCAGTTTGGAAATGACAATGAATTAGCTACAATGCTAACGTTAGCTCGGTTACACAACAAACTGTCGCTTCCATGTTATAGTAATAGCGATATTTGGTTAGAGTCGCCACATAATGTTGAGTTTCTACGTTAAAATGCTTTGTAAGAATTTCAAAAAGCCTAAATGGTAACTGAGCTAACTTTAGCATTGTAGCTAATTCATTGTCATTTCCAAAGTGTCTAGTTTTCGATTAGCAACAACAACACAGTCCAACTCAGTATTGCAGCATTTCAAACTGGAAACTCCACGTTATGCACTGACTTTAGCCAAAGATCACTGTTTCTACAGTTTGGAGGTATAGTTTTGTAGTTGAGCTGGACTGTGTTGTTGTTGCTAATCGAAACTAGATGCGTTGGAAATGACAATGAATTAGCTACAATGCTAATGCTAGCTCAGTTACACAACAAAACATCCGTCCATTTTATAGTAATAGTGATCTGTGATTAGAGTCGCTATGTAATGTAGAGTTTCTAGTTTTAAACGCTGCACTTTTTAAGAATTTCAAAAGGCCAGTGAGGTAACTGAGCTAGCTTTAGCTTGCTAGCATGAGCTAACTGCTAATCCGGGTACCACACATTATTTTTCATTTCTGTTAAGTGGAAAACACTGTTCAGTGTGAGACACGACGACCGAGTGGAAGCAGATTACCATCAATTACATAACCTGTGCCTTCTAACTTCCAATTAGCATTAGCCACGTTAGCATAGATCTGTTATAAGAATTAGCTGGCTGGACACCATTGCTACACACATTCGCTCTAACCCTTTTATTCTGCATCAACAAACACATTACTGGCTGTTGTCGCTTGGAAAATTACAAATATTTTTAAAGAAGTTTTTGCTTCCGAACTTTTAGTCTGAAGCGTAACACGCATTTCTGCCCAAACATTTAAAACGATCTTCCACAAACCAAACACAAGCCATTCAACACGCACACGCACACACACACACACACACACACACACACACGCACACACATACGATATTATGAAATGTGAGCAATGTTGATTTTCAGCCTGTTAGTTTGTATGAATGTGAATGTTTTAGGAAGACGCTGGGAAAACGTCAGGAATGTTCTGGAGTCTTTAAATCAGCCGCTTCGTCTAAAACTAACCCTCATCTCACCACATAATCAAAGCACTGGATCGATTTGGCTGTATTTCAAAGGAGAAGCTGGATGGAGGTGATTTACAGGAGCAGGCAAAAGTTTGGACACACCTAATTTAACATATCATGGCTGTCACTCAAAAACGTTGTGTATCCACTTCTGTCATTTTTTACTAGTTTGCCTAATTTGAAATCTCCAGTTAGTCAGTTATGATGAACGGACCAACAGAAATGCTCTGAAATTACGGGGAAAAAAAGTCTGATCACATTGACCTCCACTGCAAGTTAAGAAGGTTTTGGAGATACAGGGTTTTGTTCGAACAGTGAGGCTGTGTTTTTCAGAATTCTGCTCAAATGCTTGCAATTTGCTTTTTCGACAAATACAAATAGTGACGATTTTGCTGATAGTGATAGCATTTTCGGGGGTGTCAAACAGTTAAAATAATTAGAATTAATCACACTAATTTGCGTACTAAATTAATTTATGAATTATTTATGATTAATTACATTTGTCTTACTTGCTTTCAATTTTACCCCAAAAAAAGATTTCTACCATTTATAAAGATGTTTATTGTATTATGGCTGTATAAATGGACAATACAAGCTTCATCAGAATATACTTACTGCCTTCAATAACTCAGTAACTTTATTTTGAGCGCAGAACCTGACATGAAAATCTCGTCCTTTCAAATTTTCATCACTGACCCCCAGTGAGAGCAACACTGTCTGCACGTTGAGCCAATGAATGTATATATCATATTTATTATATTTATAGTCAATAAGCATTTATATCATATATATCATATTTATAGTCATTGAGCGTATATATCAGATTTATGATATATACAGTCAAAGAGTTTATTTCATATATTTTGCTGCTGTTGGACCAAAACCTTGTATCTCCAAAATGGTAACTTTACAGGAGAAGGAAAAAACTTACTACACTTTTAATGTAAGTCAATGGAACCAGACGTTTTTCCAAGTCATTTTGGGTCATTTCTGTTGGTCCATTCATCATGAAATTTACACACAATGTAAAGGACAGGTATTTTCAAATTATGTCAAAAACTGAAAAACAACAAAAATGGAGATACAAGGTTTTGGTCCGACAGCAACGATATGATGTATACAGTCAATGAGTGTATATATCATATATGTCATATATACAGTCAATAAGTATATATATATATATATATATATGTATATGCAGTCGTTGATTGTAAATATAATATGTTTATCAAATGTCACTAATGTTTTTGGTATATTTCACAATTATTTTTGAGATATGAGAAATCTAAGAATTATTTATGTATAGGTGTGTCCAAACTTTTGACCACTACTGTATATCGTACTCCCTCTGCTCCTGGCCAGATAAACATGTTTGCAGCTTTAAACTAAAATTCCCAGAATCCATTTTCAGCAATTCACCAATTTATTCCCACGTTTATAGCCTCATTTCCACATTCAGGCAGTGAAAGACCTGCTCTTGACTTCATCAGGCTGCGGCCTTCAGCTGTCTGAAAATAATTTGTTTTTTGTGCTACTTTCTCTCTTGTATAACCACAACTTCCTCGTTTTTCTTTTTTCCCTGCCGTTTTTCCCTCAGTCTGTTCAGACGCTGTTATATTTCACTGACTGAAACCACACTGGGCTTAAAAACCCTAATTGTGTCCTGCAGGTCCAGCAGAGGTCAGACTGCACACAATGTTAGGGGATTCAATTCAGTTTCAAATTGAAATGTTAGTTCACTTCATCTGTCCTCTCCAGGCTCCACCCACACGTGTTCCTTCATAGCTACTGTTGTGAGGCTGGTCAAGCTTTAGAGAACGCTGGTAAAACTCCCATTAAACCTAATGAGAAACTGTAGAACAGACTCAGTTTATATCACAATACCTACATTTTTATATATCTACAGTTTCTCATTAGGCTGAATGAATAACCGACTCTAAATGTAGGTATTGTGATATAAACTGAGTCTGTTCTACAGTTTCTCATTAGGCTGAATGAATAACCGACTCTAAATGTAGGTATTGTGATATAAACTGAGTCTGTTCTACAGTTTCTCATTAGGCTGAATGAATAACCGACTCTAAATGTAGGTATTGTGATATAAACTGAGTCTGTTCTACAGTTTCTCATTAGGCTGAATGAATAACTGACTCTAAATGTAGGTATTGTGATATAAACTGAGTCTGTTCTACAGTTTCTCATTAGGTTTAATGGGAGTTTTCCCAGCGTTCTGTAAAGCTTATTGAGTCTCACAGCAGAAGCTACGAAAGAACACATTTGTGGGCGGAGCCTGTGATAGGTCAGTTCAGTTCAGTCTCCGGGCTGCAGTTTGGATGTAAGTAGGACGAGTTTACAAAGAAGATTAAACACACATAATGTATGTAGGACACGCGGTGATGAAACTGTGGTGTTTTCATGAAAGTGTGAATCGACGCCAGAGAGTGGGATGCTAAAGTGATGATCTAACTGGGACT